CTTCTCAAAGCACACACATACACATACTGTTTGTATTGCAGGGTTGTTCTCACATCCACCCTCTGTAGCAGTCCCATGGATGTAAATCTACTGTCTGACTGTACTCATGTTGCACTCTATTGAATTACATGCAGCACTTTCGATTTGCCGGTCAATACCCATCCTCTAAAAACCCTGCTCCATCACCTCTTGCTGCTCCACATGTATGGATTGTGTTGCTTCAGTCCTGCTCTCTCTCATTTCCTGCAGAATGGAATGCGGGACAGAAATGAAGAGAGGAATGAGGGGGGTGGATAATAAGAGGAGAGACTCAAGGGCAACTGCACCATCTAAGGACAACACAGTCCCATGTGGCTATCTGCTTTCTCCTGTTTTTCCCCGTTCTTTTTGTTCGACCTGACAAAGGCTTGCATCAGATTTTGTGTCTGATGCCCAGATACTCATATTTGTCTTCCTTCATGTACTGTACAATGTAATATTAGAGCCAAAGGCTGCTGTGTGATCTGCTTTGAGTATTAAGCTGATTGAGCCAGTGTACCCTGAAAAATGTTTAGTATCTGCTGATTTAGAAAACAGAAGTCCTGAGACATATGAATGGGAGGCAAGTGCTGCATCTGGGGAGTTTCAGGGTTTCCAAGTGTGATTAGTTTGGAACGACAACAACATAAACACCACTGTATGAATCCATGTCTGTTATTTTAGATTTTCTTCTTCTCTGTAAAAATGACCACGTGGGGCGTTTCCAAACACAGACATTAGACCCTACTGCAGCACAAAACACACAGCAAGAGGAAAACATAACTCAGAAAGATGTCAACTCACCGTTTTCACTCAAGCGCACCGCCAACTCGGTGGCTGACTCAGTGATGGCATGTGTCAGAGTATTAGAGTCGTCCCAGTGCTGCTGGTAGTAGAAGGATGAGATATCGTGAACCTTGAGCTGCTTCACTAAAAAGGAGCGTGGCATTTTTATCCCCCAATTTAAAAAAAAAAGCTGATGCTAGAGCCTCATATAACAATGTGAACAGACTGATGATTTAAAAAAAATAATGCACTTAATTTCCAGGTGGCCTTCTTGAACAGACCAAACAACAGAGGACTGAAAAAAAGGCTTTAAAAATCTTTCCTGGGAAAGGTTTAAAAAAAGAGAAAGAGAAAATGTAGTGAAAGCAGCAGAGAGAGACAGAGAAAGCAGAGGACAGGGTGGATGGAGAGGAAGACAGAAAGTGATGTAAGAGAGAAAGAGGGAGAGCGAGGGAGAGAGAGCTGGCCAGACTAGCTGAGCTCAGCACTACTGCAGCCATTTATATGTGGGATGCGAGCCCCAGAGATCAGGTGGTGCTGTGGAAGAGGGAGCTGCTTAGCATTAATCCATCAAACATCCCCGGGGACACACATCAAATTAGCACAAGCCGTCTTTGCTTCTCTCTGCACGTGCGCACACACAGCAGCCAGCCACTTCTTCCTATATCCTCCTCCTCCTCTTCCTCCTTTCACCCCTCTGTCTCTGCTCTCCCAGTGAAGCAGATAAGACAATAGTGGTCCAGGAGCACATGGGTGACACTACACACAACATCTTGTCCTTCATTGTGTTTCAGTAAAGTAGCTAACACAATTTACACTGCCCCATTTCCTCCAAAACCACTGCTATTATTTCATTGTTATTATACATTTTTTAAATTAAAATGTTAAACTGCAGGAGCATGGTCTTGCTTTCTGGTTTCTGTCTTTAGATTCCTTCACTTGTTTCTTCAGGACCATACATCAGTAGTTTTAGTAGGAACCACAGTGTGTCTACTGAATAGAGCAGAGACTTAATGAGAACAATGAGTTCAGACTATTAGTGTTATTTTCTTTCTTGATATACTGTACATTCCCAGATTTAAATTAGATTTTGTTAATTTAATACTACTTTTGTAGTTTTTCTTTCAAAAACATCACTTTTTTTCT